GCTCTTCCTCAGTAGTATGTTGGACGCCTTCCGACCTGAGGGGCCCATCTTCCAGCGTCATATCTTTTAGCCTTTTGTTTCTGATCATGGGGTTTTCTTGGCAAAGATACTGGAGTGGAATTGCCGGTTCCTACTCCAGGTGGATTGCGTTTAGTCGGAACTCTCCACTATGACCTGTCCGTCTTGGGTGGCCCTGCACGGCATAGCCCATAGCTTCTCTGAGTTGCTCAAGCCCCTTCGCCACGACAAGGCAGCAATCCATGAAGGGTTTATTGATTACAGTTCACTTAAACAGGTTCTTCTCAGACTTTAATGTATTAATTAGATTAGTATTAACTTGTTTCACTCTTAACTCTCTTAGCTCTCTATAAGTTCCACACTCCTAACTATGCAACACTCTCTAACTCCCACAGACAAACTCTTCCTTCAGACTCTTCTCTCTGACTCTCACTCACTGAACTCCCCAAACTCTCACCCCTCCCTTCTGGTTTCTCTGGCTCCACCTCTCAACAGCTCCCATTGATGCATGCAAATAATCTCCTACATGAGCCAGTGCAGGGTGACTGCCGCACTTCCAAATTAGACTTACTCAAGGGGGTAGATGTCAGAAAATGACAATTTTCACCCCATAATTGCCACTTTAAATTAGGCAGATGGTACAAACAGAGACTTGAAGCTTTCAGAAAGTGGTAAAAATTAAAGGTGGAACTGCAACATTAGCCATAATCAAAAGGTTGCAGAAAGAGAGAGAGAACAATCTACAATTATAGTCTACAAGAGAGTTAACTTGGAATCTTTTCATCAGCCATGACTTTATGGTGGCTTTGTTACTCTTTGTAAGTCTGTTGCATTGCCTCTGAATTTCCAGATGGGTATATTGGGCTTAATAAAATGCCCCCAGATATCTCTGACTGTTCTCATATAACATGGTTCCTCAAACCCATTTTGCCTTCCCATAATTTTCTTCTGAAAACATAAGCAGTATTCTTTTGTAATAACTCTGGGCCAAATATACCAGTTCTTGGAAAATAAATAGATAAACATGCTGTGAAAATAAAGGTTAAAATCTACAGTTTATGTAGCAAATAAGGCATCATTCATTTTTTATGTCCCAACACCTGCAGTTAAGTAACAGCTTATTTAGTCCTCAGTGCCCCCAATCTGTAGCTTCCTTAATAACCAAATAATTGTACAGTTCTAGCTGCTTTCATAGTGTATGGTATAACCTACTCATGAGACTAAAGCAAGGTTGCACTACCTAGAAAGTTTGATGTTGCTATTATTAAAAAGTAATTGAAAGAAATACTGTGTCACTAGGCTCTGAAGTTCATAACTAGTCATTTTAAAATTAAAGTTTAAATTTATCAATTGGTACCATGGGAGGCAGAGGAATTAGAGACCAAATTGCAAACATGCACTGGATTATGGAGAAAGCCAGAGAGTTCCAGAAAAACATCTACTTCTGCCTTTGATTGTATGGACCACAGCAAACTATGGCAAGTCCTTAAAGAAATGGGAGTGCCTGACCACCTTGTCTATCTCCTGAGAAACCTATATGTAGGACAGGAAGCAACAGTTAGAACTGGATATGGAACTACTGATTGGGTCAAAATTGGGAAAGGAGTACGACAAGGCTGTATATTGTCCCCCGGCTTATTTAACTTATATGCAGAATACATCATGCGAAAGGCCGGATTGGAGGAATCCCAAACCGGAATTAAGATTGCTGGAAGAAATATCAACAACCTCCGATATGCAGATGATACCACTCTGATGGCAGAAAGTGAGGAGGAATTAAAGAACCTTGTAATGAGGGTGAAAGAGGAGAGTGCAAAAAACGGCCTGGAACTCAACATCAAAAAAACTAAGATCATGGCTACTGGTCCCATCACCTCCTGGGAAATTGAAGGGAAAGATATGGAGGCAGTGACAGATTTTACTTTCTTGGGCTCCATGATCACTGCAGATGGTGACAGCAGCCACGTAATTAAAAGACGCCTGCTTCTTGGGAGGAAAGCGATGACAAATCTCGACAGCATCTTAAAAAGCAGAGACATCACCTTGCCAACAAAAGTCCGAATAGTCAAAGCTATGGTTTTTCCTGCCGTGATGTATGGAAGTGAGAGCTGGACCATAAAGAAAGCCGACCGCCGAAGAATTGATGCCTTTGAATTGTGGTGCTAGATGAGGCTCTTGAGAGTCCCCTGGACTGCAAGGAGAACAAACCTATCCATTCTAAAGGAAATCAACCCTGAGTGCTCACTGGAAGGACAGATCCTGAAACTGAGGCTCCAGTACTTTGGCCATCTCATGAGAAGAGAAGACTCCTTGGAGAAGACCTTGATGTTAGGAAAGTGTGACGGCAAGAGAAGAAGGGGACGACAGAGGATGAGATGGCTGGACAGTGTCTGCAAAGCAACTAACATGAAATTGACACAACTACGGGAAGCAGTGGAAGATAGGAGGGCCTGGTGTGCTCTGGTCCATGGGGTCACGAAGAGTCGGACATGACTAAACGACGACCATGGGATGCAACAATTTATTAAACTGTCTAGCTTCAGAAAATCTTTGCAGTAAAAACATCCTTCTCCTGTCACACACACACACTTTAAGGAATCTGCTGATTTTTTAAAGTTAGCATATTTTACATAATTATGTTTCTAATTTGTTTATTAATTAAATTTATCTCCTTTCCACCCAAAAATGGCACTCAAAACAACTAATAATACAGTAAAAAACTGCATCTTCATTAATTACAACATTAAAAGCAAGTCAGTGAAAAATACAGCAATAAAAAAAAGGTTGCAATCAACCAATAAATTTTTTTAAACAGAAACAGACCAGGGTACAGGGCTTAGAGTCTCTCCAGATGAAAAGCTCTTAGCTGAAAAATGACAAGAAACCAACCTAGAATCCCTGGTTTTGAGGAGTTTCTTCTGTTATGGGGTGGGGAATGTCAAAGGCTGGGCTTCAAAAGATGGCCATATTTTCTTCCCCCTTGAGGCTACTATTTGGTCATTCACTATCTTCTGTAAGGGTATTTTCATGTTGAAATGATTTGCCTAAGGCTACATTTCTTGTAGTAAGTAGCATAGGAAGATATATAATAACAATTCCATACTGTCAAGTCTGTTCTGACTTGTGTTGACCCTTTTCCAGGTTTTTTTTAAGGTATAAAGTACTAAGAAGTAGTTTACCATTCCCTTCTTCTAGGGCAGCGATGGCGAACCTATGGCACGCATGCCACAGTTGGCACGTGGAGCCCTTTCTGCCGGCACGCGAGCCATAAGTCGCCAGATCGCTACTCCGCCCCTCCCCCCACACAGCCAAACCTGAGAAGGCGACTGCAGCCGCGGTGCTGGCAACGGATTCAGAGTGGGGTCTCGAGGCACCTCCGTGCCAGGATTCTTCTTTCCACCGCCACTTCCGGCTCCCACACCACCCACTGTCCCCCCCCCGGCCCTAGTTTGGGCACGCAAGCCCAAAAAGGTTCGGCACCACTGTTCTAGGGGCACTCCAGGATGATGCAGATTGCCCAAGGCTAAGCTAGCTCTTCTCTGAGAGGCACAGTCAGGAGTTAAACTCACAACCTCTGGTTTGGCAGCCAGATATTTAGTTCAGCTGTGCTCAAAGATACTTGTGTTTTTGGTCCTACCATTTTGCCTTTGATTCCAGCAGCCATCACTAGTATGTGGCCCTCAAGGACATCTCTGGTTATTGGGCCAAAAGGGATTCTTCAGCCTTGTATCAGAAGCATTTCTGTATAAAGATCATGTGGAGCTTTGTCCACCCACTGTTAACACTTCTGTGTGTTTCTGCAGTTCTATCTGTCAGAGAAAGATGTGGGGCAAAACCGAGCTGTGATCTCCCGGCGCCATCTTGCCAAGCTGAACAGCTACGTCCCAGTGCTAGACTATACTGAGAGGCTGTCTGAAAGTTTCTTGTCTACTTTCCAGGTAGGGACAGAGCAGTGCCACTCATGCCACATGACTATGAGAGAAGAAACGATTCTAATGAAGATAGAAATAAATCATGATACCTGCCGTTTCCATAGACTCTAAGCTCAGTCTGAGTGAAGCTAAGCCAAGCCTGAAGTGATATGGTAGCCATTTTCAAACATCTGAAAGGCTACTACAGCTTGTTTTCCTCAAGGGGTCCCTGAATTTTCAAAAAATTCTTTTCAAATCCCAAGAAAATTCCAGCTAAACATCAGGAGGAATGTCCTGATGGAAAGAGTTGTTCAACAGTGGAACAGGTTATCTTGGGATGTTTTAAAGCAGAGGTTGAATAAATGAGCCTCTTTGACCATAGTCATTTTCCTCTAGCCCCTCTCCCCAGCAAGTATGGCCCTCAGGCTTCTGGCAAATCTAAAAATAGCCCTTGGTCCTGCTGGGATCAACATTGTTGTTGTTCTAACCCAGTGGGTCAGCTTCTGTTCTTTGTCCTCAGTAGCAACAAACCTGCTGGACAATGACCATGTCTTTCCTGTGGTGGGAAACTTTGGCAAATTTATCTTCAAGAGCTCATAACTCTTTTGTTCAGAAATGGCACCAGAAACACTAGGTGGAAACCACTTACACTGTTATGGGTGCAGCATATGCTACAAAGCCTGCCCTTCTCTGATACTGAATATATAAGAGTAGTCTTTGTTTTGGAATGTGCGTTCTGTCATCCTGTTTCTTAGAATCAAAGTACCTGAGATTCCAGCTGCACATTTAGGAAGTTGTTAGAACTTTGGTTCCACATTAAGACAGTTCCCTGAAAACTGCATGCCTGAGCATAGAAATTTGCAAATTAAGCCTGTGATTAGTTCCCAAGAACCAATAACCAAAAAAAAAAGCTAGTTAATGGGCAAGATACAAGAGGTAGGAAAATGTCATGACCTGTGTTTAGTTCCCAAGGACCAATAACAAAACAAAGCAAGTTAATGTGCAAGATACAAGAGGTAGGAAAATGTCATGCTATGATCTGGAAGTTGAGTCCTGGCTACTGGACTTTTTTTTTATTAGGTGGAAATAAGGAAGAAGTGTTGGCGTGGGTCCAGCTCCAAAGGCGGATGTAGTGTTTGCCTCTCCAGAAGCTTGGAGTGAGATTTGGATAATGAAACTTCCAAGTGTACTCTGTTAAGGAAAACAAACCTTGGAGCCCAAATAATAAGTTACACAGAGTCTCTTATCTGGTAGCTTCAAATCCTCCCTTTTATAAGCAGAGCAAAGATCTGGACGTATAAGGAAAAACATGGAGAGAGTTCTGATAAGACTTACAGCATAATATATTAGACTTGATATATTAGCATTGGTCAGACATATATACATGGCATTATATATGTAGAATTGTGCATAGATCTCTCAGAGCAACATAACATCCACAGAAGTAATGACCACCAAACTCACAACTGAGGAGCAATGTGCTGTTCTCACTCTCTTGTTTAAATAGTGAGAGCAGCCTATCACTGCAGACATGGCAGCTGAACGTGGTTAACAAGCACTACCTAAGCTTGTTCCAGTTGCATGCCATCAGTCATCCATTGACTTGACATTTACAGGCATGACTTTGCATTCTCACTACAATGTTAAATTTAACCCCTTGCTCACTTAAGGGAACAAATTTTGACAAGAAGTCAAGAGCTTTGTGGCGCAGTGGTTAAATCACTGTATTGCAGCCAAAACTGTGCTCACGACCCAGGGTTCAATCCCAGGTAGCCGGCTCAAGGTTGACTCAGCCTTCTATCCTTCCGAGGTCAGTAAAATGAGTACCCAGCTCGCTGGGGGGGGGGGCAATGTGTAGCCTGCATAATTAACTTGCAAACCACCCAGAGAGGGCTTGAAGCACTATGGGGTGGTATATAAGCAGCACACTTTGCTACTGTGCTAAGAAGTCCAGTTGCCATGACCCAACTTCCAGATAACCTTACCTGGATGGCTGAAAATCTTCACAGATGTCATGCCATGATGTCTTCCAGGTTTTGAGAAAGCCCTTCTAACAATTTGCCAACCACGGTCTAGTTTGATTCTAATTCTGTTTCAAGCAGGTAATGTAGAGGCTCTTTATGCTTGCTGCCATTAAGTAAATAACCTCAACATTCACTCCAGGTTGTGGTCCTGACCAACTCACCCTTGGAAGAACAGCTGCGCATCAGCGATTTCTGCCACGCCAATGACATTTGCTTTGTCCTAGCTGACACAAAGGGCCTAGCTGGGTATGTGTTGCTGAGGCTTGTTGGACCTTGTTTCTCAGAGGAGATGTTGTAATGGGGCGTGCGTGATGGGACCATAAGTTGAATGACAGCAGAATCTACACTTCTGTTTGGCCTCAGATAATAGCAGAGAGGAACCTTCTCTGCCGTGATAAATTTTGCAGTGTAGTCACGTACCATAACTGTTCTCATAGCCAGACACCCCAAGGAGAGTTAAAGCATGCAGACAGCTGTGTTTGTCTGTATCAGTAAACCCAATCTAGCAATTTCAGTTTCCATGAGGAACAAGTCTTTTGTAAGCTAGTGGTCTTATTTGTCCATCCGAGACCAAGCCACACCAGATCATTTTATATACTAACAGAGATAGGTTACACAAGAATGTTTGCAATTATGTGATGAGGATAGCAAATAGAGGGAATCAAGGAGCTAGGCTGTGTGTGTGTGAGAGAGAGAGACAGGTGGCATAGTTGTTTGTGCTAATAAAAATGCCTTGGCCCATTGACCCTACACCCACTGGTTTCCTGGGCAATGAAATCCTATGATGGGACACACCTGAAGGCAAGGCATCATGCGGGCAAAGAGATGGCTTAGCAACATCTGTTCCTTTTATCCCTCCTGGTGAGGAGCTAGGCTGTGTGTGTGAGAGAGAGAGAGACAGGTGGCATAGTTGTTTGTGCTAATAAAAATGCCTTGGCCCATTGACCCTACACCCACTGGTTTCCTGGGCAATGAAATCCTATGATGGGACACACCTGAAGGCAAGGCATCATGCGGGCAAAGAGATGGCTTAGCAACATCTGTTCCTTTTATCCCTCCTGGTTCCAGGCAACTGTTCTGTGACTTTGGAGAACACTTTGTGGCATGCGATCCATCAGAGGCTGAACCTGTGTCTGCTGCTATTCTACACATCACCCAGGTAGTTTCTTTCACCAATATATAGTGGATGGCTTTTAATGCTACCAGTCAAAAGCCATCATGGAGGTTACTCCACCTTTACCTTCTTAATGGATTTCCTTTGTTAAGAGTGAAGATGGAAGAGGCAGTTAGATGGTTAACAGTTGGAAGAGGAGACAACTATTACAGGAAATATTGCCGGGCCATTCTTTGGAAGCACCCAATATCTCTTCATTGGCACTCTGTATCTTCTGTGTTATTGCTGCACTCATTCTGCCTTTCCTGGGTTCACCTCCTTTATCCCCTAGAGCAGTGGAGGGCAACATGTAACCCTCCAGATGTTGTTCAAGTGCAACCCAACATACATCTTTCTCAGCCAGGGTAGTCACTGTCCCACATGTCTTTTCTTCCCGCAGTGTAACCCTGGAGTATTGACAGTGGCCTATGATGATGAGCAGGGACAAAACCACCGCTTTGAGGATGGTGACTGGGTAATGTTCACAGAGGTGGAGGGGATGACCGAGCTGAATGGCCTCCAGCCGCAGCCCATCCGTGTGAAAGGTAACAGACTTTCTATACCATTTCCCTCACAGTTCTGTGTGCCATTCTTGCTTGTACACAAGATGTGTCCCAGAGGTGGGAAGAGGGGGATTAATATACGACAGGCATAAAGAGGAAACACTTTATGCATTTTGTGAGAGGAGTTTGACAGAAAGATACTGGAATTCTGCTGTGTGACTGTGTGAAGGGTATATTGTGAGACATTAGGGGCATGTTGGGAGAGTCACTTTGGGAGGTGAATTGCTTGATAGGTCAAGACACCTCTGGAAGCAATACAGGGGCCAGTATCGTAGAAGCTACATTGGTAGTCAGGGGGTTGTTGCTTTTTATTTGATTCTGGTCCTGTTGGTGTGAGAATCGGGTAGTGGTCCTAATCTTTGTGCTCTATTTCTAGGGGAAAACAGCTTGGAAATTGGAGACACATCTTCCTTTTCTCCATACAATTGTGGTGGGGTCATCACTCAAGTCAAGATGCCTCAAAATTACTCGTTTGTAGGTGTTTATCTCTGACTTAATGGAATCGCAGGGATGGGAAAGAAGGGCCCTTTCTTTCATGCTCGTTTACAAAGGTGAATGGCCCTTGAACAATCATACCGTCAGGGCCAAGTATTTTAACTGGAAGACGTGCAGCACAATTTCACTAGCAAAGTGAGAACAGGACTGGTTGTCTGTGATTTTTTTGATGCAGAACCACCCAGGCCTGGTTCTTTGGGATATATGACTCTGTGCAGAGAATCCGGATGGGGTAGTAGAGTAGACACTTTCATGCTGGAAAGTCTCACCTTCAATCCATGGCATCTTAGATATGGATTGTGAAAGACTCATCTGGGGCCCTGGAGAGTGACTACCAGCCCTTGTAGACCACAAGGGGGAAATAGGCAACCCTCCAGATGTTATTAGCTAAGAGCCCCCTACAACCCTCATAAGTGTAGCCAATGGTGAGCAGTGAAGGAAGATGCAAGGAAATAATATGTGGAGGCCAAGCTTTCAAACTAGTCCTGAGGTAGATAAAAGAGTGATCTATTTCACTTTGAGGTACATAAATCTAGCAAAGGGAGGATGTTCTTGAAGTGTGGTACTGTAGAGGCAGTATGTAACTGTGTGTGTGTGTGTGTACACAGTATGTCACAGAAGTGAGTACACCCCCTCACAGTTCATAAATATTTTAGTATATCTTTTCATGTGACAACACTGTAGAAATGACATTTGGCTACAATGTAAAGCAGTGAATATACAGCTTGTATAACAGTGTAAATGTGCTGTCCCCTCAAAAAAATAAAACACACAGCCATTAATGTCTAAAGTGCTGGCAACAAAAATGAGTAAACCCCTAAGTGACAATGTGCAAATTGAGCCCAAGTAGCCTTTTCCCTTCCTGGTTTCATGAGCCCCGTTAGTGCCACAAGTCTCAGGTATGAAGGGGAAGCACGTGTTATGGCTCTCACTCTCTCAGACTGGTCACTGGAAGTTCCACATGGCACCTCGTGGTAATGAAGTATCTGAGGATCTGAAAAAACGAATTGTTGCTCTACACAAAGATGGCCTAGGCTATAAGAAGATTGCCAAAACCCTGACACTGAGCTGTAGCACAGTGGCCAAGACCTTACAGTGGTTTAACAGGACAGGTTCCACTCAGAACAGGCCTTGCCATGGTCGACCAAAGAAGTTGAGTGCCTGTGCTCAGCATCATATCCAGAAGCTGGCTTTGGGAAATAGACATATGAGTGCTGCCAGCATTGCTGCAGA